GGTTGGATGTAGTGGGGTTACAACAACATGCCTAGTTATTTTTAGAGAACACACAGGACCTCATCGAGCAGCTACAGGACTGGGGCCCCCCCACAGAAGTACGAATGGAAACACTGCAAAACTTGGAAATAACCGCGATGGAGATGGTAAATCATCTGACCACAACAACCATAAATTCAAGGACACCACCAGCAACCACCAATGCAGGTATAGGAGACCCAGCAAGTACAGGAGGAACAACAAGTTCATATACCCCCACCAAATACCCGGTTGCTCTCATCAACGAAAACGAAGGAGATAGCACTGCCGAAAAACCTGGACATAGAGCTGGAGGCACTACCAGCGGAACCATAATCCCCTTTGAATCCAGAGGCCGATATAATCATCCTAATGAACCTAGAAGTGCATGCCTCTAGCATCCTAGACCAAATATTGCAACACATTACACTACGGGAATCAATGTCGACCACACTCCATGAAAACAGAGAAAAATAATACTTCATCACAGTTCCAAAAAATGTGCTTCGAATAGCAGTGAACATCCGCACCTACCTCTTCTCGATTATCCATAAATATGCAGTATTGATTATACCAACACTGACGGAGGAAGACTTGCCATTACTGGCACCCAATGGGGCGGATCACCCACTAATTGCATAATTGCGCATGTCACTGACCCCGGGTGGGAGCTCACGTATAATCAATGAACCCAGAATAAAGATACTCCTTTGGAACTGCAGGGGTTGCAACAACCAGGAATTCTGACGCAACTTCAAAGACATTATTTACTGGAACAATCCATCAATCATCTGCCTCACTGAAACATGCATACAGAGCCATTACAAGCTCATGGAATTTATTGGGTTCGCTGAATTGTTTGAAATTAGCGCAGATGGATACTCTAGTGGAGTTGTCCTAATATGGAAGCATAAAGAGTTGAAGATGGGCCCAGTAGCAGTTACTGACCAGGAGATCCATGCAAACATTCAGGTTAGTAGAACTTCAAAACCTTGGCTGCTCTATTTAGTTTATGCCATCACTTTATTAGTGAACAGAAAAATTCTTTGGAATAATCTACAAATAGTCGCAAAAAATAACACCTACCCGTGGCTATTATGTGGTGACTTTAGTGAAGTCACGGCCGCCTCCAAAAGTTTGGAGTTAGGCCTACAAACAGTAATAGAAGTACTGCCTTTCTAAATTTTCTTGATGCTATTGATATGATTGACTTGGGTTTTGTGGGCCCACGCTTCACATGGACTAATAAAAGTAAAAACGACAACAGCAAATATGGGAACGACTGGACAGATTTCTTGAAAATTTGGACTAGGTGGAAATGTTCCCTGATACCGCTGTCACACACTTGCCACGTACACATTCGGACCACTGCCCGCTATTGCTAAGTTTGTCAAAAAATATTAGTAAACCAACGCACGTTTTTCGCTTTGAAATAATGTGGCTTAGTCACTCACTTTTCCCAAACATAGTTAAACAACACTGGGATAATAATAAAAATTACACTAATGCCATTTCTTCCTTCACAGAACACGTGGAAGAATGGAACATGTCCACATTTGAAAATATTTAAAAAAAAAACTCCTTGCACACATTCCGGGACTCCAAAAAATGGACCCACAACATAAAATCCATTTTCACCATAATCTTGAAAATAATCTTATTCATGAATATAACTTGATTCTCCAAAATAAACAATATTTTTGGAAATAAAAATCAAGAGTTCAATGGATAAACGACAGGGATGGCAATACAAAATTTTTTCATATATCCGCTATCTAGAGGAACAGAAAAAACAGGATACTAGGGCTTAATGACACTGTTGGTAATTAAATTTTTGACCCCAAGGGAATACATGATATTATTTTTAAACACTTCTCAAATATCTACACTACTGAATACGACTCATGTAGACATACCACAGCACCCAACCCAAGCTTACTCAACATCCTCAAAGAACAGGATAAAGAAGCACTCATTAGACCCCTCTCAGTAACAGAAATCAACAGAGCTATAACATCATTTAAACCACTAAGGGAACTAGGTCCGGATGGCATCTACCCAATTTTCTTCTAGAAATACTGGTCCGACACAAACTCAGCTATCACACATACATGTACTCAAGCCTTTGTTACCTTAGTAGTACCAGCTGAAATAAATAGGACCTACATAACTCTTATTCCCAAGGTTAAACACCCCCAAAATATCTTTCAATATAGGCACATCAGCCTTTGTAACATAATCTATAAAACTATAACAAAATTATTGTAAACTTTATTCGCCCTTTCCTCAATAATATTATCAGTCCTAATCAATGTAGATTTATTCGAGGAAGGAGAGCAATTGACAATGAAATAATTGTCCAAGAAGCAATCCACTCATTCAGGAATTGTACGGGCAGGACTGGGAAGATGATGCTCAAAATTGATCTCGAAAAGGCCTTTGACCGACTTTAATGGTCATTCGTCAGGAGCTCATTGCACACATTAAACTTTCCACAAGACATAATCACGCTTATTATGAATTGCATATCTACCGCTACAACTTCAATCATTGCAAATGGCAAACCTACTGATTTCTTTAAACCATCAAGAGGCATCAGTCAAGGAGACCCGCTTTTCCCATACCTATTCATCATCTGTATGCAATCCCTAACACTTCGCATTGATTATAAAGTAGATATTTTAAACTGGAAACACATTAAAATAAGCCATAATGGCTGAACCATATCCCACTTCCTTTTTGCGGATGACCTTATTCGATTCGCTGAGGCAGACGATACTAGTGCAACTTCTGTCATCAACATATTCAACTTCATTTCCCACCAATTCGGGCAGAGAATAAATTTTTTCTCTAATGTACCAGTTACAAAACAAACATCACTGGCCAACACACTGAACATTAAGATAAAAAATAATGTGGGGAAGTACTTGGGATTTTCGATCACCAACTTACAACCAAAAAGTTCGGATTATCAATTCATACTTGACAGGATGAATACTCGACTAAAAGGATGGAAAGCAAGACTACTCACTTTATCTGTGAGATTAACTCTTATACAGTCGACCCTGTCAGCAATTCCCACTCATTCCATGCAAATAAACCTTCTTCCTGCAAAGACTAAAAACAATATTGATCGCATCTAGAGAAACTTCCTATGGGGTTCCACAATGGACCAAAGGAAAATCCATCACATCAACTGGAATAAGGTAGCCTCTCATAAGCATGAGGGAGGCCTGGGGATGTACAAAGCAACAGGGAAAAATTTCGCGCTCCTGTCAAACCTACTATGAAGATATCTTTCAAATCCTGAATCTCTATGGGCTAAAATAATTCAGGGTAAATACATTAGCACCCAAAGAAGAAACCCTATGGTTTACAAAATAAATGACTCCTACATCTGGAAAAGTACTGCCAAAACTTATTCTTTCTTCTCCAAAGGCATCGCTTGGAACATTAGAAACGGGAGCCAAAGCAGCATTTCGGATGATAGATGGGTTATTGGCTATCACGCCCTAAGAAAACTAATTGAGGGGCCACTAGGCAAGGAAGATATAAATAAAAAAGTTAACTGCATCATTAATAATAAAAATTGAAACCTAGAAGCCCTACCATACGACCTACCAAATACGCTTTCTGACATCGTTACACAAACACACATTCCGTTCTCAGAAAAATAAAATGACTCCTTCTTCAGGAAAGAAACGGAAAATGGGAACTTCACAACAAAATTCGCCTACAATCTCTTCATTAGGCTCACAGAGGCAACTCAATCTCATGAACCCTTTAATCACTTCTGGATATGGAAAGCACTACCACAACAAACTCAAAACTTTCCTCTGGCTACTAATACATCAACGACTACCTACTGCAGTTGTCCTAAGTCAAAGGAAAATAATTGAATGCAACTCTTGCAAACATTGTGGGACAGAGACAGAGGAAAGCATAAACCACATATTTTTTCACTGCCCTGTAAACAATACATATGGAAGAGCTAAACATCACTGCCCCACACTCAAACCAACTAGATTGGATAAAGGATAATTGTACCTCTACTACGAGCATCATACTACCAAATAACTCATCAATCTCGTTGGCTATTATCACACCAATTATTCTTTGGCATATTTAGCTAAACCGTGATCATAATATTTTTAACAACTGCTCAACACACATTGATAGCGAAAAATAGTTGTGCACGCAATGGAATACATCTGCCTAACAAACCATAACTTCAAACATTTCATAACCACAAAAATTCCAATAAAATAGACACCCCCACCTCAAAATATCTATATACTCAATATAGATGGTGCAAACCTAAAAAATTCCAACATTGGAGGAGCGGGTGGAATCATAAGAGATTCCGAAGGAAAATGGATTGATGGGTTCTCCTGCTACATAATGGTCTCATCACTCATCCAAGAAGAAATTCTCGCCCTACTAAAAGGATTTTGGAACTTGCTTTCACAAAAAAATGAATTTCGATCATAGTGAAAACAGATTGTTAGGTATTACTGAACCTATTACAAGACAAATCTCACAGTAAAGCTAATGCTAATTTTCTCCATGATTGCAGGTTCCTGCTCGACGCACTGGGCCAGCCGGATGTTAGGCATGTCTATCGTGAAGGAAACGAAGTGGCATACACACTAGCGCACTTTGGGAGCAGTTATAACTCACCTACAAACGCTGAGTGTGACGAGCACCTCTAGAGTGAACCACCTTTATTTGCTTTCTCTACTTTTGGCAAAAGACTTATTAGGGACTGCTTCGATAAGATCAGTCCGGAACTGTAATAACTCTCTTTAATTTACTGCATAATAATAAATTCAGCGCCTTCTAGCAAAAAAAAAAAGGAGGGGGGGGGGTGAGACAACTTCTATAAGTATTTTTTTTTTTATTATTATTATTATTATTTTTTATTTTGTACTATAATATTAACCTGAAATGAAGCTAAATTAATATAGAAACATGGTCAATAATATTCAATGATTTGTGTACTTTTACTTGCTTTTCCATTTCCTTCCCGTTCCTAACTTCCAATCAAAAGGTCAGAAATTTCTTCTCTTTGCCATATTTTCCTTTTCATATTACAATCACACACAAAACAAGAAGAATAAAGAGTGATGAGCACAGAAGAGACTCTCGTTGAAGCTGCACTACGAGTTCTGAACACAGCTGACCCAGTCGAGAAGGCTCGTATCGGCGATGAAGTAGCAAACAGATGGCTGCAAGGCCTCATTTCTCAGCCTTATAATCATTCTGTTGAACTCCCTGTTCCTGATCGCCCAGCCCGTCTCACAAATGTAATGCTTCTTGTGTTGCCCCAATTCTTGTCTCCTATGTCTATTACCTGTTCGATGAAATGTCTAAGAGATGAAAATGTTTGTTTTGCTATATTTGTACATGAAATTTACTGGGAAATGCTTATAATGCTGAATAGGTGAAGCTGGTGTCGCCAAGTCTCATGCCAAAACTTGGGAAAGCGGGAAGCTTGCAGAGTAGACAGGCCATTGTACACAGTCTTGTTCACACTGAAAGCTGGGCTATTGACTTGTCTTGGGTAATAAAAAGCACCTTCATTCCTCTATTTTCTTGCTTCTGTTATGTATACCCGAGTATATTTTAGTTTTTATGGAAAACAAGTATTTAGTCTTTATTAGCTTGTGAAGATATTCGTAGGGTCTTTGCTGATAAGATAAATTTGTAATAGATCAAGCTAATGAATGCTGAGATTTCTAGATATTGTTGGGTAATGCCAACATCTTGCCTATGGCAAGGCCCAAATGATTGGTCAGAGATGGCTCGGGTCATAGTTGTGATTGTATATGGCGCTTGCTTGAAGGCCTTGGTTAAGAAATACGTTGCGCTCTTGCTATCAGATATAGCTTTTGGTATGATGGTAAAATGCTTGATTCTAATGGATCTAGTACTTGGTTCAGAAAATGGTAGACCATATATACTTCTCAAGTGGAATGGGTTGTTTTGCACTAGAAACGGGAATAAGAGTGGGGTTATTCTTGCAAAGGTAGGAAAATATAGGCGGGTCCAGCTGGTGAGCTGTTTACCACTGCACTCACAACTCACAAGTTTCTCTGTGACAATCCGATTGAGACTTAGTGTGTGTGTGTGTGTGTGTGTTTCTATAACTGTATATATATAGCTTAACTTGAAGGGAAATGGGCCTGCTTCACCGTACGATTGCTCATGGATAGTGAAACATCAAACAAGGTTGTTAGCGCTGTTGTGACCTAGCATGGTGGATGGTACACCTCTATTTGATGATTTATTGTTGGATATATTCATTTTTGAATACCAGTTGCTTCTCAAATGCAATTATTGTATTAGCTATCCCAGTATGATTATATATGCCATTGGTCATCCTACAGGATATAATTGCTCGATTCGGCAAGCAAGAGTCAATGCCAAGAGAATTTTTCACTGATTTTGTAAAAGTTGCACAAGATGAAGGGCGGCATTTTACTCTACTTGCTGCACGGCTTAAGGAACTCGGATCTTTCTATGGAGCTTTACCCGCTCATGATGGCCTATGGGATTCAGCCATTGCTACTTCTAAAGATCTATTGGCTCGTTTGGCTATTGAACACTGTGTTCATGAGGTTTTATCTCCATCTCTTACACATGATAAAAGGAATCAGGATATTCATGAATGAAGTAACAAAGAGATATTATCTTTGTGAAGTCTCGATGATTGAGTTCATTAGAAGTCAATGCGTTTTGAACCAAGTTTTTATGTCTTGCTTTTGTCAATAATTTTGATTAAAAAAGTCATAAGCCCTCTGATAAGAGTCATTCCAGAAAATTCCTTTGCATTATGCAGTTCATCGATTTAAATGTGAAACATTCATAATGTAAGAGCTCACTGTAACTTTGTAGTTTATAAATGATAGTCATATATGAAACAACCAAAAATTGAACAAAAGGAAGAAATAAGTTTCCCTCGTTCATGATCTTTTCAACTATTTATTGTCACTTCAATTTTACGTTATGTAACATATAAATTATAACATGATTATAATTGAGCAGTCAGCAAGCTATATCAATCTGGCGCCAATAGATCAGATTCATGATCATTACAAGCTGAAATATTAACAAACTGCTGCAATTTTGCATTGTGATATGCTATTAACCTCAGTTATTCATCTCTTTCGTATATAACGTTCATTGCTGACACTAGTGATCCTTGAGTAGTTTCCAGCTTAACATGAAAACAGGGGTGTAATAAAGTGATTTCACACGGTTAGACATATTTAAGACATCTGTGATGGATATGCATAAGTCTCAGACAGAATTGAAGTATAGTAAAAGAAAATGAATAGTGTGGAATTCCAATATATCTTATATATCAACAAGTTTCTCAACAGTGGTATTGATCAAAGACTTGTTTTATGCAGTTCATCATTATTCTAATTTGTAGCATCGTTTTCACTTTTCCATACCAGATCGCTGACTTCGCATTTTTGGAGAATGTAGGCCAGAGGACTTGATGTGATACCAACCACAATATCCCGTTTCCGCAATGGCGGTGATAATCAGACAGCTGAATTATTGGAGAATGTGGTTTATCCCGAAGAAATAACTCACTGTGCTGCTGGAGTAAAATGGTTCAAGTATCTTTGCTTGAGATCAAGAAATCCAAATCCAGGCGACCTCTCGTTACAAGAAAACAGTGACACCGTGGATGTAGACAGTGAAGTCATTCAAAGGTTCCACTCCACTGTGAGGACACATTTCAGAGGGCCGTTGAAGCCTCCTTTCAATGAGCAAGCACGAAAAGCTGCTGGATTCGGTCCACAATGGTATGAACCTCTTGCCGTTAAAGACTACACAATGGAATAAAGGTATTTCTTCTCTGGTTTCTATAATTTATGATGCTTAAAGCTACAGGAGGGAAATTGGACTCTGGTTAGGGAAGTTTGTCTTTGTTTCCAATTTTCATGATATTAAGCGCACCTGTTACAGTGGATTATTATAACTTCAGTGTTAGGAGGACTCTTCTAACTGGACCCTCAACTGCAAGGGACAATACCACAGCAGCAATTCTTTGGATCCTTCTCATTATCAGGTGTTGTATTTAATTTAAAATTTTATATCGAACTGACAGTTAAAATGGGAAGCTTTAGAAGGTCATTATGACCGAACTTGACAACCAATATTCTTTTCTTTGAACTGCTGTTTGGTGATAGCAAAAGATTTTGGTTGCTGTTGTACGTTGCTCGTCTTGTGACACATGATTTCTCAGCTCTAATATTAGGCCGAATAGATATGCAGACACTTAAAGTTGGCACAATTTTCCATTTAGACACCTAAACTTAAGGATATTCCTATTGAGCACTTATATTATTCTAAATTTGTTTCAATTAGGCACTTTTTTGACAATTAGCCAAACTTACAAAGTCTGTGCAATGCACTCGCTGCTAACGTGGCGAATGACAAATAAAAAAAAGGATATATATCATTTTGAGTTAAAAAAAGAAGGCAGAATACATAACTGGGCCCTTAAACTTGGCCCTTTTTGTCACTTGAAACTTAAACATAGAGTTGTTCCTATTAGCCCCTTCAACTAAACCACATTTGTGCCAATTAGACACTTTGTAGTGACATAATTGAGTGCGTGAGAAAAGACGCGTGAACATGAGAAAAAGGTTGTGATTATTATTTTATAATTATTATATTCTAATATATTATTCCACTTAAAGCTAATTTTTACCCTATATTCTATTTCTCTTCTTCTTCCCGTGAACCCATCATTTTTCCTCTTAATTTTTTTTTAAAAGAAAGTATAGTGTACATGGATTTGACTATTCTCATTTGGCATGCTTGTTCTCTTTACACGTTATTGGAATAAAACTTTACAAACTAAAACACACAAGTGGTTGATAGAAGTTGCATTTTGACATTAACAACTTTTAACAAAAATAGTACTTCAACAAGAGAGCAAAGCTGTCAAATACACAAATGCAGCTATTTCATAAGCAAAGAAGAAAGCCTTAAAAGCTATCAAATACACAAGTGCAGCTAATTACATATCCAACGTTAATTTTTATAAAAAAAAATCTCAGATGGTCTACAAAGCGTCTAATTGGCACATATATGGTTTAGTTGAAGGGCCTGATAGGAACAACTCTATGTTTAAGTGTCCAAGTGACAAAAAAGATCAAGTTTAAGGGTTCAGTTATGTATTTGGCCCTAATATTATAATCGTCTCGTGGCGTTGGACTAAAATAATTCCCAGGAATTTCTCTGACAGCCATCTCGGGGGCTGTTTAGAGGGGCAAAGTAGTAAATTTTCAGTCGCTGCCATCAGTCAGGCAGTGACAAATGGCACGCAAAATCACCTTAACCTGTGACCATACACGAGAAGCGTGGACAGTTTGGTTGAGTCATGACCTAGTTCTGGTTCGATTTTTAACCAACCGAACGCTTGTTAGCTCCCATATTCTTACGCATGTTTAGGGTGTTCGATTTGATTGCACCGCTGTGGTTTTATAGTTCCATTTTAAAGGTATATCAAGTACTCCGTGATTAAGTATAGAGTTCGCTCCAAAATTGGAAAACTATATTTAGTATACAGTTTCAACAGTATACAGTTCAAATTACTGTTCTTTTTCCCTTTTCTTGTGAAACCAAGCTTCTTTCTAGCCAAAAGTAATTTTTTTTTTTTTGGGTATGGCCAAAAGTGCCTTTTTCACAAGTTAGGGTGTTTGGCCGAGCTTTTAGAAGAGAATAAGGCCTCATTTGTTTGCACTTAATGGATGTCTGAATCTTAATCATTCAGATCTCAGACATTAAGTGCATTTGTTTTTAAAGTCTGAGTCTTAATTATTCAGATCTTAATCATTAAGTGTGTTTGTTTTTTAACTTCACAGCCACTTAATGGGTCTGAATAGGTCTGTATGATTAAGATCTACAACAGAGACTTATTTTCATTAAGATGGTATCACATATTCATTATTAACTGCCACCACCGCCTACCATTACCAACTACCACCATGCCATCTCTACCACCCTACTCAACCACCTCCACCTCCACCACCACTACCACCACCACACCATCATCATCCTCAATCATAGCTGCCATTATTATCGACCATCACCACCCACTATCCCCACCACTCCGACCACCATATATCATTCTCACCCACAATTAATACCCATCCACCTCAACTACCACAAGTGACCACCCCATCACCATCAACAACCTCAGTCGGCACTGCCCATCATTATAACCTACCACCACCCACCCACCACCTATCTCAGTCACAACTACTACAACCACCACCATCCTCAATCATAATCACCACCACCATCCTCAATCATAATCACCACCACTACCAATCACTACTACCTACTAGCATGAACCACCATCATCAACCAAAACTACCACCAACCACCACCTCTAGTCGACATCACCCGTTAGCCATCACCACAATAACTATCATATTTTAAAAAATTACATATTTTATTGATAGAATATTAGATTAGTTAGTATTTCATTTGAATTTTATGTTTATTAATTTTCAAATAAAGATAAATTTAATACATTCAGATGTTAAAAATCAAACAGGCCTAATTATTTCTATTCAGATCTTAATACATATCTTAATATATTCAGATGTGTATTCAGATTCAGATGTCTTAATCTTAATACACATATTGATATTCAGATGTGTATTCAGATTCAGACGTCTTAATCTTAAAAAAAAAACAAATGAGGCCTAAGTGCTCTTGAGTATATGCAGAAACAGTTTTTGAGAAGCAGGAAAAAATAAATTTTCCGCAAAAACACTTCTTTAAAAAGCAATTTTAAGAAAAATACATTTAAAATTTTGCCAAATACTAATTGCTGCTCAAAAGTACTTTTCGAATTAATTAGCCAAACACAATATTTCTCACCAGAAATATTTTTTTTGAAAAGCATTTTTCTAAACAAAACTAATTTTAGAAGCTTTGGCCAAACAAACTATTAAAATTTAATCCTTCTGGAAAAAGATCGGCTGATTCAACCACGGCTAGAAGCTTCTGTTCTAAAAGCGCCAATATCAAAACCAGTACACCATATATACTGGTAGAAACAAAAGAAAAAAAGGAACAACTTGAAAACTCTACCAAGCCAGAAGGGGGAAAAAGAATCAGCCGCTCTTTATTTTGGTAAAGAATACTGAGGCACTTTATTGTACAACTTTTACAGGAAAAGCAGATAGGAGAATGACATAGTCATAAGCTTTGTCGATAATATCACCGAAGAAATGGTGGTGTCACTCGTATTGGAACTAGTCCAATTTTATGGACCTGAAATCATTCTGATCCTCAAGAACAAAAATGGGGTAAATACAAGAAAGCTTGAGATCTGAAAAAGGCAAATCTGAAAGATCTATGCCGCCTGCACAGGTTGTCCTGTAGGATATTTTGTTCCCAGACTTGAAAGTAAATTTCAATTGTATTACACTAGAAGCCTCTTGATGTCACTGAAGTTAGAAGACAATGCCGAAATGAAAGCACCTGCAAGATTGATCCATATTTGCTTTCACCCATCAGCAAAGAAGAAAGAAACAAACAAAAAAGAAGATAAACTCCACTTGGATGGCAACTGAATACACTCCTTAATTATCAAAAGACACAAAAGAAAAAGAAACACAATATACTGTAAGAAGATTTTAGCGTCTGATGCCTTGTCATCCAAGGATAACTACAGGACGTTACAGACAACAAAACTTTGGTTGATCTTGCATGCTTATCTATTAAATGTACAACTGCGAACTTTGGATAGTTAAGACTGATGGTACAATCAACTTAGGACTTGAAATTATTTGGCGATGATTTGCAAGATTAAGTGCAAAACACGCAACAAGTAGTAATGCCAACCTCTGTCAACTATCAGTTACAAGGTTTAAGAGATCAAATGTTTGCACTTACCTCCAACCTTTCCATCAAAGACGCGATGATCGGCAGATAAAGTCAAACTCATTTTGTTAACTACAGCTGGCTTTTCAATTCCTGGAAAGAAGGAAGCAAAGATCAACTAACAACAACTGCTACTACTATGTTTCAATTCCATACTAGTTGGGTTGGCAATGTTCAACAAATTGCAGTAGAGAAACAATTGTGCCAGAAGAATTTTCAGTCAGAACTTTACCGTCAGTGCCAACCACTGCTTCAACAACTTTATTGCCCCTACCAACAGCAAGTATACCAGCCTGAGGAAAGACATTACAATGTTATGGATTCCAAGCTAATGGCAAAGCAGATTTATGAGCAGTGACAGAAATGACCTGTTCTGACGGACCTATTAGGCTTAAGTTATAAAATCTAATGCATCAACTTTAGGAGTTTAACAGTCCAGGGGAGGACAATATAGGAAATCTAATCTATTGAGTCAAAGGAAAGCAGATAACAATATAACATATATCTTTCGTGTAGGGGTGCTCCCGCATGTGAAGGTAGAAAAGTATGAGAACCTGAGGGGGGTTGATAATTGCACAAAAGCGATCCACTGGAAACATGCCCAAGTTTGAGATGCTGCATAAAGAACAGAGAAGATATAACCCCTGACCAAAGGAATTGTCTCTACACAATACATAGTACCCAATGTCGATTATTCACCTGAAAGTGCCACCTTGGTATTCGTTAGGTTTAAGCTTCCCAGACCGTGCCTTTTCAGCAAGCTCCTTGATCTTTCATGCACAAGCATACGATAATTAGAAGCTTTAGATACCAGAATAAGCAGAGATATTAGAGTCCTAAATAAAATGACTGAAAAACAGTTTATAAATACAGCAGAAATTACATTATTTCTAGTGCTAACGTCTAAGAACAGCAGAAAGTACCATATTTCTAGTGCTAACTTCTGAAAGCAAAAAATGCACTTTCTTTCAAAGCATCATAATTCTATAGTTCAGACATACCGCAGAATTTCAATATCCCCAACTTAAAAGTAAATGCTGTGACTAGCCTTTATTGCCCAGCTATTCAAAAAATAAACGGTTCAACACTATATCCGTTTTTACCTCCGCAGAAATCGAGGATATGGATTTCTGATCAGCATTCCTGATAATTGGTGTCATCAAGCCCTGTAACTCAAGAGAATGAGATGAGAACAAGATTTGTATGAGGTCCATAGAAATTGTTGTATGTTGCATACCTTTTCAGTGGCAACCGCAACTGATATGTCAACAGAGTCAGAAAACACCACCTCTCCTTTTCCAACATCCCAGTAAGCTGTCATGGATTTACAGATTAACCTTTTCAGGGAACTAACATTTCAGGGGAGAAAGCCTCCTTACTGAGTTAGTCATCAGGAAGTAATTGTTCTAGCTATCTATTGGAGATCATAGAATGAAGATACCCAGTGACAGGAAATAATAGAATTCACTAGGTACAGGGGACCTCATATAGCGTGCAGATAATTTAAAGTTTATTAGTAAAATTCAAGGAAGAACAAGCATAGATTGGAAATTAATCAATCTGGGATAGTGGGAGACCATATTTGAAGGAAATAGCCATCAATTAAATATAGTGACCTCTCCAACCTTTTCAGCTTTTTTTGCTTGGGTGTCAAAGGGTATTGTGAGAAGAAAAGTTCAGCAAAACTTTTATACTCTCAATTGCTGGTATAGATGGTATCATGATGTACAGAGACAAACGGGAGAAAATGTCAAGTTACCATTTTACAGTATCCAAGACAAACACCAATAGATGGACATCAACATCAAAAGTTATAATATATGCTGGGGAGAAGACCCAAAACTACAAAAAAATTCATGGAAGAAGTGGTCTCATTTTTTTTTTTTTATAACTATGGTCTCCGGGCCAGCTTGCACACACCTCGACTAATTCCATTGGGGACCTGCTACCTCCCAGCAGCACAAGTACCGGGTAACTCTGTCTAGCAAGGCTTAGACAGATGGGAAGAAATCACCTAATGTTTTTGCTTCCGCTGGGATTTAAACCTGAGATCTCATGGTCCTCAACTCACTTCACTGACCACACCCTTGCGTGCTATAAACAGTTTAACTCTAAAGGAACAGGTAGACTGTAAACTTATTCAACTCTTTCCACAACAAGTTACAAAATATACCAAAAGCGAAGAGGAAATCTCTGGAGAATTCTTGAGCCCATCTGACTAACAGTTTCACTTTCCACAGTATTAAAGTCAATGGATAGATAACTTTTGAGTTATAAGAAGAGGAACAAAGAGAGAACAAGTGTACATAGAGGGCTGTTAGTTTGTAACAGTAGCATCAGCTAATATTAATAGAACATACTGTAATTTGTAACTGGACAAGTCTCCTACTTCGTGAGGAAAAAAGTTTGGAACAATGAGAAAGAGTTTCTACTTTACAAAGTGAGTACTCTTTCCCGCAAAGAAAAGTTGAACAGTTAAGAGGCTTCACTCCGGACAGCAGAGGTAGTACATGATTTTGTTGAGGAAGGTAATAGTTTCTCATATTAGGATGAAGGCTAATGGTTAAGCTTGTCATCTAAGTGCTTCTCTGTAAAGATGTTGTAGGAGATCGACCTTTGAAAATAAGAGAGCTAGCATGCTTCATTTATATTAATAGAAATACATACATTTATAGCTTCATTTCAAAAGGTCAATATTCATTTCTGGACTTAACGAATAAGAAAATGTAGATACTCCTAGAGCATTTGTGGCAAAAGGGAAAAAAGACGAGTAAATTATTGTTAATGCAACATTATCAATCTTCATTACTATACCGAAATATAACTCAACTTTCTGAAGTACCTAAAACAGAACACGATAAATATAAGTTTGTAAAAGACTTTTAAGATGTCTAAGTGCATGTTGCAACAGACACCAACCACATTTACCAGAAAACCTATCTTTTCTCCCACCTACACCTCCTTTCAGGGATCACATGGTCTTTCCCTGACATGGAAAAACTAAATGGAACTGATAGGGAAATATCAAAATGGAGAAAAAAGATATGGTCATTCCTCTAACAAAGCTAGAAAGCTTGCTTCCACATACTAAATGAGTTTGAACTTAGGCTTCATATATAATTATGATTCACATCGTCCTACATTTTAGTTGTTAATATGAAATAAGTTAAGAACTTCAATCAGCAATGAAATATTAATATTATCTCACCATTTGCTTCTGGTACATTTCTTAATGCTGTTGCAACCATTTTGATGACAATGTCATTCACCGAGACTTTAACATCATACTTTTCTGCACAAGTTAAAAATGTGCCAAACAAATTATGAAGGAATATCAGCAAAAGCAACAAGGCAAATTAAACACTTTAATTCTATACCTTTAAGCTCCTTTCTGAAGGAGAGAAGGGAGTCCAATATAACATCTGCTAGAAATGACAATTAATTTGATAAAAGTTCCACATATTAGACACAAGTAAATTACTAAGAGTACTACTTTAAAGCACTACGAACTTGACGATTGACAGAACCTGTGGACAAATACAAATGAGGGGTAGATTGCTTAGATTCCAATAACCTTGCTGCTATCACCTGCAAAAGATAAGGATTGAGTGATGACAAATTAAGTATGAGATGTCATCAATTTTATTCATGAAAAAAAAAAAGAGAATGGGAACTCCACTTGAAGAATACATTGATAAAGCAAGTAGAAGAACTATGTAGAAGCATCACGAAGAGAATGGGACCTATGCTTAGTGAAAAATAAGAACGATATAGAAGCATAAGCCCAAGTAGAAAGTGGAGCCCAAGAAAAAAGCAAAAACCACAATGCACATACTGCATAACTAGCAATTCAGCAGAAAAGAGGGGAAAAAGAAAAGCTAATACCCTACCTGGCGTCCTTGTTTGAGCAACTGATTTATTGGCATATTTTTTGTTTTAAGTTGTAATATGTTGAATCTTCTAAATGTGAAAATATTTCTTCATATTTCAACTTCTCCTTGGATGATTTGCAAACTGAACCTTCTAAGTTCAGATCTCACAGATCAATTTGTTATTCATTAAGGAATACTCGTTCAAGAAAGGAAAACTCAGTAGGTCTAGAGACGCAATGATATTTAAGAACACAGAAATTCTACTTTCGTTATTACTGCCATCTTAAATTTTTTAGGCCACTAAAAGTTTTTAAAAAAGGTTTATCACATTTATTTGGTTAACAAGACACAACTGCTTTCTCCAAATAAAACAAAACTTTTCCCAAAAAACAAACAAAAAAACCAAAATAATACCAAAATTACTTCCATAATAACACACCAAACTTCCAAATGTTATCACTTCGACTCTCAATTTCTTGTACAAGTTATTTTTATCTTTTACCATTCACCTTTCCCCTCCATATTTGTATGTTCAACATTTATTTTCGAAGTGTTAAATTTGTTAAAGTGTCCCACATTGATGGGAGAAATGGGTTGTCATCTCTAAAGTTTTAGATATCCTCACCTATTGAGCTAGCTTTTGGGGTTGAGTTTGGCAAAATGTCCATTTCTTAGCATGGCATCAGAGCTCGACCAATTTCTATTCTTGCTATAATGTTGGAACCCTGTATTATATTGTTTACGGGCCAGATGTCCAGCCCTAGGCGTGAGCAGAGATGAATTTGTTAAGTTGAAGAGGTGTTTTAGATTGTTATGTGTTAGTGCAACAAGTTAAGAGTTAGAATGTTGGAAGAGTTAAGTTTTTTAGTTAGATATTGCCTTTTCCTCCTTTTACATTGTCAGATTGCGTCTCGCTTGTGGTGGGAAATACAGGGTTGGTTCGGCCTTCAATGGGTGATACAGACACGATTAAAGAAGTATTCTTAGCTGGACTTTCAGAAGATGGAGAAGAAGACACGGGGCTTCGGATATCACTCCACTTGCACTTACGCGGATCATTTGGAGAGAGAGAGAGAACTAGGAGAGTTTTTGTTGGAGTAGATAAGGACTGTGTACATCTGATGAGTAGCCTCTTTTCCCTTATTGTGTTTTGGTGCGCCCGCAAGATTCCTTAAACAATAGAAGATCGGGTGTCATTCATAGAGAACAGATTTTTTTGTGAGGATTCTCTACCTTTTGGTATATTTCCTGTCTACACGTACGTATGCCCTTCATTAATAAAATTTTTTACTTTATTAAATTAAAAAGAGATAGTCTTACAATGGGCAAATATAATGTTATTGTGTTTAAATGTTTAAGTTGGTGTGTCTTGTATTCATCAAATTATCAATCATTAATAAATCCCTTCTCATCTCTTATTTTCTGACACACATTTTAAAATTGAAGAAACTCTATTTTATAGATAGATGAAACTGAGTCTTGTCCACGAGTTGACCTTCCTTACATTTCTTCCCAATGTGTTAGCAAATATGATAGAGTATAACTTATGCAACACAATTAAAGCTCTATTATCTAACAAGTACTATAAGATAAAAGGATTAAATAACTGCTGATCGTAGTTCGTAGTACCTTGCGAATTTGACTATTGGGCAAATCTTCATAAGCATCTTTTTGTTGTCCATCAGATTTCAACCCAAGTGACTCTGTTGGAGTAGCTTGTTGGTCGACCATAGGGGGAGATGAAGTTGCCTTCTTAATTGATGAAATTTTGGTTGATCCCTTTCCAGACTTCAATGCAGCGAGAACATCTCCCTTTAACAGGGTACCACGAGGACCAGATGCTGGAATTGATGATGCATCTAACCCATGTTCCATGATTAACATCTTTGCAGCTGGACTGATTCTGTTGAAACCCGTCGTCTGAGTTCTAGGTTCAGCTGTGGCATCCTGACGGATCGCCTTTTCTTCCTTGACGATATTGTTGCTGCTGATTGATGTCCTCACTGCTTCAATATCATTTTCATCCTCAACCTTGCAAAACAGAAGAATTAGTTCCATACAATGCTAAGGATTATAATGCCTAGAAAGTAACTTTAACCGGTCAAATTAACAAGGCGAACTAAGACAAGTCCCTACCCATATCTGTACCGACTGATTTGCATCTTCTAATTGTTAAGACAAACAAAAAACTTCGGTAACTTTTCTCAGTTGGTGAAAAGAGAGGAGCATTAGTAACTTACTGTGATTGCAATAGGCTGCCCAACAGCCACATCTTTTGAACCTTCAGGTGCCACTATTTTTGCCAAGAATCTGCAATTATACCAAATAAAAATAATTTTTTGAGGGCATCAAAATGAACATATGAAATTGTAAAACAAATATTAAATCAGAGGAAGAAATTTTCACAATCTGCAAGAGCAATAAGGATACGGATGGAATGTAATGTCCCCTACTTTGAAGACTCGGAAATATGAGAAACATAATGGACAACCTCACATCTTCCTCCCAAAAATTAATATATAACTAGGAAGGCCTTGTCTATTATGTAATGTTAATATGAACAGTGCAGGAAGGACTCTTCCTTCAATATTTTAACGCTGCTTTTTCGGATAAAAAGAATTTCTTGGAAATGGTTATCTCATAGAGTACAGTGAAAAATAACAGAAATCTCTAAAGGCATCTTATTCTGATGCAATTAAATGTCTTATCTAAAACGTGATAGGAAATATTTACCCTTCTTCGAGACTTTCAAACTCGAGGGTCGCTTTGTCAGTTTCTATCTCACAGAGAACATCACCAACCGCTATCTGTATCAAAAGAAAAATAAGATACTATTGGCATATGCAATTTAATCATCACTGCCTAATGTCTGGGTCATTGTATTTTAGTGATAAATCATTAGCCTCATATCATGCAGAACCAACCTTGTCACCTTCCTTTTTCCTCCATTTAGCGATATTACCTTGGCTCTATAAGTAAAAGTTCAAAGAAAGATTTTATCAGCACTGAAAGGAAAAACAAACAAGTATAGCGTGGAAAGTCAAGAGTCCATTATGAATTGTCCATACCATGGTTGGGGACAAAGCTGGCATATCAAGGACCAAATGAGGAGGAAGTTCAGATGTGCTGATATTCACAGGACTGGCTTCTGGAACCTTGTCTCCTGTTGCTGCATCTGTCTGAGACGATACCTGATTTTTACCCTCTGATGCACCACCAACAGCAGCAGGGACTTTTTGTATGTCATCTGCTTCTTCCACCTACTCAATTAGCAAAAAATATTTATAATAACCAGATGTAAATGGCAGTTCACACAAGCCATTTGGAAGCATGTTGGAATGAGACATCCAATCTAGTTAGGCAGAAGAACATCGCTAGAATTAAGCAATAAAGGCGACACCGCGACAGTCATCCTGAATTTCACAGGGAATGGATTTTAGGTCACAGTAAGGTAGAGATTGGTTATAATTCAACCATCAGAATAGCAAAATAAGCTGCCAATTGAGGAATGTAAAAAAGAAAAGAACCTGCTAATAGACTCCTAAAACATTTAATACGACATCTTCATGTCTAAGTAGTTATAAGATGGTTATTGCCTTTATAGCTGCACTTTTTGCAAAAAGAAATTAAAACGGAAAAAGGGATGTGATTTGAATAGATAACGGACTAGGCAGACTATAAAAAATCCTTCCAAATGGGAACTGCCCACTTCTGTTAAAAGGTTGTATTGCTTCCACCTGAGTTTACCACCTAGAGTATTCAGTGAACACTCTCTCCTATTGATCTTCTTTTGAGATTACAATACTTGCCGACATTCTGATCTCCACTATTTTTGTTTGATCTCAACCATGTGGGGGAGATCCTTCTCAAGTTAACCCAGTAAGGTTCACTTGACAAATAAAGAAGCTCTAAGTTGGTAAACCCTTTCAAAATTTAGAAACATTGAAAAAAAAGAACACTACGAAAATGGAGTTAAATTTAGTCAAGAATAACTTAGAAACGGTTAGATAGTTATGTGTAAATAGTCTTAGTCCCATATGTAGTAGGAGTAGAATATGTCATAGTCCCATATGTAGGAGTAGAGTATGTCCTAGTCTCATATGTAGCAGGAGTAGAATATGTATTACATATATGGCTCATTGTACTATTGTTGATAAACAGATTTTTCTCCTGTGCATTCTCCATGGTATCAGAGCTTCAATGAGAAAATTATAGTTGTGCGTCATTCCAGCGACATCCGGGAAGAAATCGCCGTGCAATTTTCCGGCAACTTCGCCTTGTTCTCAGCATTCATCCCTGCTATAGTGGTATTATGCATATACCAGTACCACCATCAGATCTGAAACCCTTGTGCGACCAAACTCCAGAAATTCCAGTCCCACCGGAACAGAAAAGTCAGTCACAGTGCGTCTTTGCGGTTGACGACTCAAGATTGATTTGCATTATCTCCACATCGGTAAGTGTTGTGCGAAAACCAACACTACCATCTTGTTCGGAAAAGTCAGGCGACAAAACCCCAGTCAATCGCTCTAGCAGAAGGTCCCTCGCGCGCCTCCGCGCGCTGCCGAAACTAGAGTTCCGGCGAGCTACAGTAACTTTTCCGGCGCGTGTGAGCCATTTCGGCCACTTTTTGACAAACTTCTTCAGAATAGCTTACTCGTCCAGTGATTCCGAGCGTACCCATATAAATTATATCAAATTCTGACAACTTTTTTTTTCCGGCGTGAACAATGCAAATTATCGGCGTGAATAATAATTTCCAGAAAAGTTTTTGTTTTCTGGCGGTGTTTTAAAATCTATCTTGTAGTTTGGAATTCAGTTTAGTCTCACTATTTTCAAATTTTTCCGGCAACCTTTTGGCCAACTTCTGTTCATCAACAACCACCTGGTTTTGTTGCTCAAGGGGAGTCTAGTGGCCTTGTATGTCGAATGATCAGCTTGCAAATATTTTCACCAAGTGCCTCACTGGTCCTCGTATTAGTTACATATGTAACAAGCTCGGTATATATGATTTGTATGCACCGGCTTGAGGGGGAGTGTTAGATAGTTATGTGTAAATAGTCCTACTCCTATATGTAATAGGAGTAGAGTATTAAGAGTAGAATATGTCCTAGTCCCATATGTAGTAGGAGTAGAATATGTATTATATATAGGGCTCATTGTATCATTGTTAATAAACAGATTTTTCTCCCGTGCATTGTCACAGCAACAATTCTGGCTTTTTAATTTCTTTTTTGATAAGGACTTTGAAACAGTTCTGTTCTCCAAAGAAAGATAGAGAAGACCAAGAACCAAATTTATCGCTTGTCTCTCTAGGTAGGACACTATCAATTTATTTCAAACATTACTTTCTCCTCCAAGTTCGACACTTGAATATGAGATTCTTTATACCATTCACGTTCTGGTACAGGGGAAGGAGGTATCCTACTCCATCAAAATTCTCTGTCACTTATCTTTCTCATACGTATCTTTTGGGAAAAAAAGAATTTTTTATTTATAAATCAAGAACTTTTAATTGAATTTCTAACCAAAGGTTCCAATTTTATAGAGTATGATACTAAGCTTTCAAAATATATATCCAGCTATAGCTATGAATAGGAAAATTTTATTTAAATCAAAAAAACAAGTGAAAAAAAAAAGATATTGAATTTGAACCAAGACAATAAAGTTCTTCTAGGAAAGAAGCCCATGCTTTTTTTCTTCTGAAAGGGGAATAATTGAACAAACTTTTCAGAGAGAATACACACTTCCCAAAATGAGACTTTTAAGTTCCCTTGCTGTTTGTGCAAATAAAATGGACAATGAAAATTCTTGACTTAACACAGACTTCTTTTTTCATTTTGCACCAAAGAACTTCAGAGGAAAAGAGAGAAAAGAAAATTGCAGCATTATCACGTCAATTATATTTCCGTTGTGCTTGACTGACAGGAGATTATCACAGAAGAGAAATTGAAGAGGGAAGTGGCAGGAGAAATATCTGAGAGCTCTTATTACCGTAATTGCTATAGCCTGTCCCACTGGTACATCTTTTGTTCCTTCAGGGACCAATATCTTTGCTAGGAAACTGCAAATGATATCCGAAAACAACAAAAGCAAAAACATTAAAGAAGTGCACTGGTTAATCTGATGATTAGAGTGAGTCATTATGTCATTTAGGAACAGCAAAAGAATCAGTGAAGATCACTAGTCACATACAAAACTAAAAAAAAATGATGCATCAGAAAAGAGCGTCATTTACCTCATAAAAAGAAGGTCAGATAAGTTGTAAATAAATACAGCACAACTGGAATATAGGCTTACCCTTCTTCAAGACTTTCAAACTCAAGTGTTGCTTTATCAGTCTCTATCTCACATAGTATGTCCCCCACTTCAATCTGTTAGGAATCAGAATTCAACTGAGTGTAATAACAAAGAACTTCAAATTGCTGAACCTTAAACTTTAGATGGCATTATCTCTGTTTTAACGTGAACTTGAGATATGACTTCACTTCAGGTAACCATGAAAAGCAACTGACCTTGTCCCCCTCTTTCTTTCTCCACTTTGCTATATTACCTTGAGTCTGCAATGAGACAAACAGGCAAGTTAAGAATTCCCGCAATAATAAGGAAATAGCAAGCAGAACACTTCATCATTCATAGAAATAACGCTGTTACCATTGTAGGGGACAAAGCTGGCATTGCCACCTCTGTATGCAAAGGAGCCTCTGCAATAATGGGAAATGAGTATTATAACATTTAACAAAGCCCTCATCTCTGCCTCATAAATCTCATATTATCATTAAATTCTCACATTGTTCAAATATAAGTTGTATAAAAATGAAATATTTTTCATTTTTTAACGTGTCCAAAGGGCACCAAATATCTTTCCACTTCCTTTCTCAAATAGAAAACAGATTCACTTATGGGGAAAGTAGCATCACAGTTTCATCGGACAAGACGGTCTCTCCAAGAGACTCCACACCGAAAGCCTACATCTTCGAGAGGATATTGTGCCTAACACCTTATGAAAGTAAGAAGACTACCCTATCCCATATATAAGTTGAAGACTTTTTAACTGCTCTTAAAAATTCATGCATTATGTTACAAGCTAATGCACCACACAATAGCCATATTTGCTATCTTTGGACTCTTAACCGTATGATAAGGAATTGAGTTAATATCATGTGGGCCAATGGGACCATAGCATATATTAAACTGATAAGAGGATGGCGAAATCAAATATTTGGAGTACACAAGATACACACATAGTAACCAAACACTTGCTGGAAAGGAAACACATTAGATTTAAGTTGCACCACCTAGGACCAAAATTGCTTTGTTAGGCTTCTCTATCTGTCCCAGGTGAAAAGGTTACAAGTGTTTAGCAACATAAGACATACATGTATATATCTAGAAGGGACAAACGTCTTTCCAAATGAATAAGTGCGATGGAGCAGCCACTATATTCTAAGTACAAGATACGAAGGTACTTAGAAGTAAACACAGCTAAATCTACGGCCTCCAAAACACCAGATTTACACATCAGGTCATCGAAAATGAACTACTATTCCATCTCTTTATCATTCAATTTATCCAATAACATGGAAGTTACAAGAAGCACATCCTTATTTATGTGATAAACTAATTATATGGGGCGTTATTTTTCATAGAAAAATAGTATAAATGAGAGACAAGATAAGCACATCACCAAAGCAACGGTCTCCTACAAACAAATGTTACAAAAAGCACCAACTTTAAAGGACCTATCTCCAAGTTTTCTTCAATTTCTCTTGGATGTCAGAAGTTGAAAGAATTTCTAGTTCTAAAGCTGTACTCTACTTACTTCTCTTTTTATATGCTCTTCTCCAATGCACAACTTATTGATTTCATTCAGTGTTGGCACTTGTAAGTCAAGATACGATAGTAGAAGCTACTAAAGGCAATATATGCATATTGGAAAGATAATGGCATAAAGTAGGAGCAACATCATTTGTATAATGTACTTACCAGCTGACGATAGATACCGAACACCACTCTGTAACTGCAACATTTTCAACGTTAAATCAGAAAAACATAAATAATGAAATTTAATTGGCAGACAAGTATTGCAACTAACCTTAGATGGTATGTCGTGGACTCCACTGAGCAGACGGAAATGTAAAGGCCTGGCAGAACTTCATAGTTAGTGAACCGCACAAAGTTTGAGGAAAAACAATTACAGAGGAAACTAATCTACCTTCAGCTGGTTAATAATTAATATTGATGCAACTTAATCCGTCAAGGAACCATATCATCTCCATGCAAAGAATATTGTCTATCCTTATTAGTCCATTAAGTTGGTTATATGCTAAACCAGCACGACGCGTCCAGTAATATGCAAGACAGAGGACTAAGAAACTATGCTACTATAGGCATCGCAATTAAAAACTACAGCAGAAAGTCAAACTTTAGTTGGTCATTATACAATCAAAATTTCAATCTCTAGAGAATTTTATTTACTTTGCATATGATTGAGAAATCCGTTTAGCGCCCATAGTAAGAAAAGAAGAATTTATTGAGGAGTCTCTAGAACTTTATTACTTTCATTGCCGCCATGTGCATCATCTTATTCACAACATATGTCCCAGTCAGACAACGGCACATTAGTGTAGAAAGCATCCAACAGCGGCCTTTGAGTTTGAAAAGAAAAACCCCTCCTTCTGCCGAGGTAGCAAGTAAGCAGCAAGGTTCTCCCTACAACAAGCTCGCGACTCTAATAGAAAGAAAGGGTAAGCTCTCTGCTCTATTGGCAAGAGGGAACCATTTCTCACCCAGCCCTACCTACCCTATGTATTTGAGGGAGAGACTGGAACCGGAAAAGACCAGGTTCCACACATATGAGACAGGCAGAAGGTATGGTACGAGCAGTTTCTTGAAGAGCGAACTTGCTGCTTCTGCTTTCTGCCATATGGGTTCAGTTTCATTAACTTTTTATAAGCCAGTTATGATCTACGTAACCGCAAACTTGATTTCTTCAAGGAGAGTGAAGCGAAGTCCCTCCTCGAAAAGTTGAGTCACCCTTTTTTTCTTTCAGAAATAGAATAGAATAAAGAATGTGGTGATGCACCCTTTTAGTTTATATCTTGTATCTAGTCGAAAAAGTCTAAGACGGAGAAAGTGGTGATGCTCTTTGATTGCATCTGCTTGCTTGATCTTTGATCGTGGAGAGAGAGAGAGAGAGAGAGAGAGAGAGAGAGAGAGAGAGAGAGAGAGAGAGAGACTCAATTGTCTAAAATCATGGGCGTGCATGCAGAAAGTAGACAAGTTTACTCGATAAATCAGTTTCTTCATCAAACATTTGAAGGAGTTAATGAGTCAGGTCTTAGGATCCATAACTCCTTTTAGTGAAGCTTTTATTATTCCTTTTCCATCTCCTTGTAACTTTACATCATTGCAATGTCCTTTCAGTTTAATTTCAAAGAAAATAAGTCCTTAAACAACCTTCTATTTTTAAAGATGATTTCAAAAACATAACAAGAAGTTTAGGGAGAAAGTTTCTCTTTCAAATCGAGGGAGTATCATCCCCATTGACGTAAATCTGTAAAAAAGAGTTGGTGCACCTCCAGCATCTTGAACTTGTAAAAAAGAAAGGAAAGCTTGGTGCAGTAAGCTCCCCTATGATGGGGTAAGAGGAAGGGACGGACAACATCGGGTCTGATGTACGCAACCCTATCTTGTATTTCTACAAGAGGTTGTTTTCGCGACTTGAACCCGTGACCTCCAGGTCATAGAGTGGCAACTTTTTGCCGTTGCGTTAAATAAAAAAGATTTATACTGTCGGAAGTATCTTAACAAGGGTACTAGTATGCTTATGTTGGCCCTACAAGTGTTCTTCACGTTTATAGCATAAACATGTAAATGCGGGACTCATGCCTCCATAGACATGATAGGGAGGGTAAAACGCAATGAGTCATCATGATCGGCCCCTCTAGGGCAATGTATCCATCATTTCTCAACAACCCAACTAGACTACATGAAATCTGGAAAACTGGGTTGACTTTGATTGGACTAGGATTGAGAGTCAACAGGCCCCAAAAAAGATACTTACCTAGCTTAATGCTTTACTGATGCTTTGGACTTAGCATTAGATCAGAGACAGCCACTTAGACCATGATAATATTTGAAAATAGAAAAACAGTGACTAGCTAATAGAAGAAGTTCTACATATTCATTCATCTTTTATGATAGTTCTCTAGCAAAGTTATGTCAGTTAAACTTGTCCCATTATATGGAGAAATTTGAAGTGGGATAGCATATTCCAATTCATTAAGCACTAAAATGGACGGACAAAAATTCTTAACATCCAAACCTTAATGACGTAGCATCCACATCAGGAATTTGATTCAGCGCCCCAGAAACACTGCAAATAATGAACATCACAATGCACACTTTATCCAGGTGAAGTGCTTAAAAGAAAGATTCTCAATAAGTTTGAACACCTATTACAATCATTCGTTTGGAACTAAATGAACAGTGAGGCTCTTGTACAAATTTCTGAGGCTAAAATGATTGATATCCAGACAGAAACAGGTACACAACCCTTGTACATTACGAAGAGTACTAGAATGTTGGTGCATCACTCCACTTTTTCTTTAAAATTATGAACATAACTAAACTACATTGAAGGGGTGCAATCCCAAATGCTGCTTTGGATTTACCTCAACAAAAAGAAAACCTAAAATTCAAAGTATTTGACCTATCGAATCAATATGGACAAAAGGGACTTTGATATATGTATATCAAAAAGTTAATGAGGAAAGGAAACAGAAAGATCAACAGATAGAAATGCTTTCCTTATTTTTTAACTAAACTTAATTGTCTTGTGTGCCAAATCCTTTTCAAGTTTAGAGCACTCATGAAGTCTTTACATTGTTGTTACTATTTTAGCTTGCTTTTCTTGTAACTCCTTTTACTACTTTATCTTTGATATCTTGTCTTCTATGCAAAGTACAACATTCAGTTATTCGTGATTCTGCACCCAAACAGACACCCATATTCATTTTATTTCTGCCAAACTATAACCAATATTGCAAGCCACTTTTCCCACGATAAGGCGGCACGCTTCTTGAATTGCATTAGATACCCTTAATCTAACTGGATATTAAATGAAACACCTCTTGAAAAACAACATAATCCTCTTCTTTCACGACTGAAATTTTCCAACATAATGAACCCCAATCCTCACCCTCCAAGTGAAGATAGAACTAGTGTTGTCAAAGCCGAAAAGCATTACAAAGTGCACCGAGCCCATCGGGCTTTAAGCGCAAAGCACGAGCAAAGTGAGAGCTTTTGTTAAAAAAAGGCGCAACAAAAGGAAAAAACAAAAATGTATATGCAATGCAATGCAAGAAAAAAGTAACAACCTCATTCATAATGATTTCCTTAACAGTTAATATATCTTTTTTCCAGATATACTTATTGTTTAGTACCGTTCTATTCAAGATAGAATTTTATGGGCAATGAGGTGCACGCATTAGTGCTTTGCCTACACTGTAGTGCAGCCTAAGTTACGCAAAGCGCCTACCCTGATCTTCTCTGAGCTTCAGGGCTTAAATGCACCTCAAATGAGCCTTTGACAGCACTGGATAGAACCTTTGGAACATGTTAGATGAAGGAAAATCCACTTTCTCCTCAGATTCTTCTTAAAGATTTGTCCATTGACTAGACTAACATCTTCAAATTACTTAACAGTAACAGGAAAGAGAGAGTAACTTAGACCTTAAAATCTATTAAATTTGAGGTCTCAAACAGCTCAGTAAAGTTCATCAAAATGGAACAAAGTATTATCATTTGAGCAATGCATTAGTTATGTATGCCACAAAGACCAGTAGGCGGTTGAACCCACCATGTATGCGCTGCACTAGCTATTTCTAGCCTAAAGCATGCCTAAGCTACCAAAAAATGCATTTTTGTCCTCAACTTATCCCCTATAACTTCTTCGTTATTTTTAATTTCAACAGGTGTCCATTTCCTTGATCAACCAAAGTGTGAAAGCAACAAAATAAAAGAGCAAATGAATAATATAAAAGAAAAAAAAAAAGCAATAGACTAAGTGCTTGCGAGACTTGTCAATCTCAAATACGTATTGCCAGAATTTGAACACACACAGATTAACTTTTCTCATGTACCAATCTCTATAATCCACGAAAACATTCAGCAATTTGTAATTCTTAATATACGAGCTAGAATTCAAAAACTGGACAAAAATGTAAAGAGAAAAACGTACTGATGGAGGGATCGGAAAGTGGAAGAGTTGGATGGGCCGGCGGCGAGAAGACGGCGAGCACGGAGAAGAGAAGGAGCTCGGAGAATCACCGGATGACGAAGTCTGGAAAGCGCCATCGATCGTTCGCAGATCCACGCTTCCTTTCAACTTCTGTATATATGCCTATTGTATCCCGCTATGAATATGTTGATTCAATACACACAAACTTGTTTTTTCTTCTAATTTTTTGGCTTCTCGCCTCGCTAAAGGACTTACTAGCCATAAAGTATAGTTAATGAAACTATATTCTAACCTTAATTTATAATGGGGAATTACCAGTTATGTCCATTTATAAGTAGCTCATTACAAAAATTGGCCAATTAATAAAATATTACTAATATTAGCCAAATTAGCCAATTAGCTATTTGAAGCAAAAAAATATCAAATTTTTGCTTTGTTTTGAGTGGGTGTTATTAGAATAGATTGGGCACAACTTAAGGAGCTTGAATCTCAGTTTTGGGATGATTTGGTGAAGTTTTGAGGTAGTTTGAATTGAAAATTCGAAGTAAAAGCCGAGCATGAAAAAATGATATGTGTATCACACTGTGTATCATTTGTGTATCACATATGTATCATACATTGTATCAATTGTGTATCACATGTATATCCATGTATACCTGTGTGTGAGATACATGCGTGATACATGTTTGATACATGTGTCGCGGAAGACTTTTTTGAACTCGATTTAGTTACGAATTTTGATACAAAACCAGTCCAAATCACCTCCAATCTTCCTCAAATTTTGTATATTGACTTATCTATATATTTTCAATGAATTTCAACTATACCCATTGAAAAAATTCTTATTTTGCTTAGATTTTTGAAATATTGTATAGATTTTTGTATTTCATCACCTTATTTGCTACCGCGTCCATGAAATTTCCTTTCCATCTTGTATCTAATGTTGCTATCACGCTTAAAAATATGGAAGGTGATTTTTGCATGTGATTCCTTGATAGAAAGAATCCTATTATTTGGTGTTTCAATTTTTATTGGCTAGTTTTGGTAAGTCTATGACTAATGGCTAGAGGTTGGTAAGTTGAGATTTATTTGGGATATTTTTGTAAGTTTCCCATTTATATTTTATCCATTATAATTTATTATGACTTTTTATTTTATTTTTTTTATAATAATTGACTAATTTCACGGGATACCATTATTGTATTTTTTTCCAACAATGATGTGACCTTGATTTTACTGATCGAAAATGGTTTTTTTATATTCACAAGGTAAGTGTGTGTACACTACCCTCCCCATAACTCGCTTGTAGCATTATATTGATCTAATTGTTGTTGTTGAATAATTTTACGGGATATCTGCTACCTCTCATCATTAATAGGTACCAAGTAACTCTATTCGGCTTTGATAGATCAAAAAAAATATAATATAATATGAATAAATATAAACATCCAATGCGAATAAATCTCTACTTATGCATACATAATTAGCTATTTTTAGATCTATTTTCTGTTTTTTGTTATTTTTATTTTTTCTTTGAGTTCGGAAATGGAAAAGTAATGGTCCGACGATGAGAATGGTAGGCTGGGAGAAAGTAGAGGTTTGGCGGGCATCAATTCTTTGGTCTAATTTTGATGCCTTTGGGATTTCATAATTTGGTCCACTTTTGTTGCAAGTTTGACACAAAATAAACATAAAGTGAGAAAAAGTGATTTGGAGTTTAAACAATTGTAATTAATTTTACTTGTGTTTAATGTTTCATGCCCCATTCCTATCATGAATTAATATTTGATGGCTTTGTCTTCATGTTTGCATATTTGTTTTGCTAATCATGTTTGCATATTCAATGCTAATCATTTCTTGGGCACCAACTCCCATTCTGGCCCTTACGATGACAATAACTTTGATCTTAATGGGAGGAGCGATATACTTTTTGCATGTTGTAATTAAAGTTAGGTATTTGTCATATCTTAGATCAAAGTCCGTCTTCAACAAAGTCAAACTAAGTTCTAAGTATTTTTATTTTCATATTTAATCTCAAGATAAGTACTATCTCCGATCACTTTTATTTGTCCACTATACTAAAAATATATTTTTATTTTTACTTGTCTATTATACTAAATCAGGATAAAGACAATAATTTTTTCCCCTTTTACTCTTATCATAAACTACTCATTCCCAAAATTATTTTTCAAGACTTTTGGAAAATCTATTATTATTATGGATAAAAATATAAAATATATATTTCATTATTATTTTTTAAGTAGCATGAAAAGTTCAAATTAAAGAGAACAACTAATGTAAATGGAGGGAGTAATAAGAAACATTTTGTGAATTGTCACAAAATGCATGCACTTCCTTCAATCTCAATGAATGCCTTCTTAAAAAATTTCAAAGAAACTTAAAAAAATCCACTTCCCAAATCACCAGCTTTCACATCACATTTATAATCCATTCTCAGAACTGTACCTTACCAATTCAATCCCTATTAAAAAATATTTTTCTAATTTCCACAGCATGATTACCCATGATTTGTTTATTGAGTTATAAGTTTTTAGGCCAAATACATCGACACCCCCTTAAAGTTGTTCGCGCTTTTTCACTTAGACACTCTATCTTAAACCCGTTCTATTTGAACACTCCAAGCACACTTAAACGTGTCATCTGAACACAAAATTCTTAGGCAACCAAACACAAAAGGAGCGTATAATTCACATGTCAGATTGACGAATAAGACAAAGACACGCGTATTTCACATTAACCCCATCAATCTGTCATCTTCCCCAATGACCCCCGGCCATTTTTTCCCCTTCAAAATGCAGCAACAATTGACCATTAAAATCATTGGCAAACAAACAGAATATGATGCAATAGTTGAGGATAGTGAAATCAAACCCAATCTAAATGTACCAAAGATGGGACTCAATCATAAAAATCAACGAACATAAGCATGAAGGTTGCCGGAAAAATAAAAATCCGAGAACCACAAAGTTACGGGAAATAATTCTGACTGGATTAGAGATGGTGGACTTTTACCATATATTTTTAGATCTATAACCTATAGACAAAAAAAAGAAGAAAAAAACGAGGAGAAGAAGACACCAATGCAAAAGGGTCGCCAAAAACTTGTTATTTCCGGCCAGATCCGCTCAAATCTAGCCGAGTCACGTTTAACTGTTGAGAACAAAATGAAACTTCGTCGGAAAGAATAAAATTTCGCCGGACGAGTGAAAATGAGAGGGCTCTTGTCACTCTTCTTGTTCGTTCCATCCCATGGTGGAAGATAATGGAGAAGATGAGGTAGGCAGGTAGGGATGCTGCTCTACTTTTACAGCCAGAATTGCAGCAGCCAACCAGATCTTCAAAATGAGAGGAAATATGGGAACTTTACGATGGTGGCCAGATTTAAAGGTGGTGATGGTGTGCCCAGATCTAAAGAAGGATACAATTATAATGGTGTGAACAAATCTAAAAAAATTGGGCGAAGAAGATGGACGGAAAATTTTCTGGCAGAAGCTGTACATTTTCCGACAAGAAGTATGTAGAGTTTATTTTTTGGAATGATTTCATGCGCTTGGAAAATGTGAGAAACACTTACCTTGCCATGTCAGCATTTTGTGTTCAAATGACACATTTAGGTTGTGCTTGGAGTGTTCAAATGGAACGGGTTTAAGATGAAAAGGAATGTCTATGTATTTGGCCAAGCTTTTACCACAAAATCGTCCTTTGTTTTGGAGCCAATATATGCTTGCATACATCCCTACACTCCAACCTAAGTCTTGTTGATTTATTCACACACTTTTTTAGCTTAACCCTTTTTGAATTGTATAGCTGGTTACAACTTCTCTGAATTGAATACTTTCAAATACCAGTCCTTTTTCCAGCACAACTTTCTTACAAGATGAAAAAAGGACTCTTCTTACTATTCTTAACTCCTTTATGGTAAGCTTACCCTCTCCCAACTTGTTCCCTAGTAGTGACAAAATGGATTAAGAAAAATATTTATTTATTCATATTATCAATTAAAAATGGGTTGGATAATGAACTTTTTAAAAACAGATCAAATATGGTTAATAACCATATTATCCATTTAGAAAATACAAAATAGATAAGTTACCCCCTAAACTATAGACCAAATCCCTCTTGCACACTTTCTGATCACGAAAATTAACTTACACACTTAACCTTTTCAAAATATGTCTAAGACACACCTGTTATAAATAGAATTTTATTTATGGTAAATGTCTATATTTAGAGAGATTCTAGGGTTTATTTAAGTCACCCTCTCCCTATAAATAGAGGGTTTTATTCCATTGTAAATCATCCCAAATCAATAAGAATTCTCTCCCTCTACTTTTCTGTGCAATACTCTTCTTTTTTTTTTATTGTTTTATAACACGTTATCAGCACGAGACTCTAACCAATTGAGTAGAAGCTTTGGGATTGAGCATAATGATTGTCAATCGTTCCATGAACTTCCTTCATGATTTAATTCTGGATTTAAGGTAAGTATTTTACTTTATTTTTCTCTTTTAAATTCTTGAAATTCTATAATTTGATTTTATATACAAGCAAAGACAACAAAGTTTGATAATAACTCTAATGGAGTTTGAAAGAAATTATAACCACCCAAAGTGGTAAAATTTCTATGTCTTGACATGATCAAATTCATGTATGATTATGGGCACAAAAAGTGGAAACCCGTCCCATTGAATTTGCTCCATTCTCATTCCCTTAAGAGAATGTGATAGCAGTATGTGATAAGTCTGAAAGAAGACAAAATTATCACTATGAATGTATCAATGGATGTGGACGTGGCAATGGACGAAATTATAATAGTCATCATTGTGATAGTGAGAATAATAAGGATTCTCAAAATAATCCTTCACTCTGTGAAGGTAATATTTGTCAACGATTCGATATGAGATTTTATAAAGCACAATAGATGATTATGGTCCATTCATGATGTGAATGTGACAACATCTGATTTATGAATACATATTCATTCTTCAAAGAATATGAACGTGCTAGTGGTAGTGAATATACTGCACTCACCTCTAAAAGGAGGTTTGAGATGATATAAGAAAATAATGTCATTATTATGGCATGATTGGTCATTGGTCACGTACCTATTGTACGCCAAAATATTTTGGCATTGTGATTGTTAAAAGACAACGGTAATGCAAGAAACAGATCTTGCATATAATTTTGACCATAACCATAATGGTATAATTTTCTCTTTAAAAGAGATATTCACCATATGG